AACAGTCTTTCTAAGTCTCCAACAACAAAATGGGCTGGGGGTGATGCCACACACATGCTTTGATACTTCATTTTAAAGGTTGGTCCATAGGAGAGGAGGACCTCCCCTCTCAGTGGACTCGGAAGGGGGCAGGGAGGAGATGAGGGAGGGAGGGGAGGATTGGGAAGGAAAGAGGGAGAGGGCTACAGCTGGAATACAAGTGAATGTATGGAATTATTTAAAAATAAAAATAAAAAAACAAAAAAAATTATAAATGAAGGTTTGTCCATGCTGTACACTGAGAGTTTAATAAAAATGGGGCTATTCTGCACAGTTTTCTTCTACAGGCCTGCCGTACATGAAAACACGTTTGCTCGTATTTTTTTTCTGTATCCTTTGAGTGCTTTTAAGATTCTTAACTAACTGGCAAGGAGTCAATGAGAACAGATTCTCCTGTGTTTAGAAGCCCACACACTTCCTGTGACCCCATTTTTTCCCTTCAACACTGCGATAGTTGCTGAATCTCAGGTTTAAATAGTCGATTTGTTCCTGCTAGATTCCTTCACTGCGGATCCAGCCTTCAACCGGCTATCCTACCTGTAACTTAAGACAATGATCGGAAGTCTGTCATTTTCTCTTCTCTCAATTCTTGCGCTGCTACCAAAAGTAAAACACGACTTTTCTACTTAGATTGAAATTAACGTACAAAAATTATAAAGGCAAGGGTCATGTGTACACCCACTATTCCAGCATTTAAAAAGCAAGAGGATCAGGAGCTCAGTGTCATCCTGGCTATGAGGGGAGACTGAGGCTAGCATGAGACCTTATCTCTAAATAAATAAATAAATGAAGAAAACATAAATAAATGAATAAATAATAAGAACAATGAATGTGTGGGCAAAAACAATAAAGGTTTTTTAAGTGCCACCCCAAAAATGTTTTCTATAAGCTTACCTTTAAAGTAAGAGTTAGTTTAGAGCTGGGAAGATGGCTCAGTGCTTGAGGGTACTTTCTGTTCTTGCAGAAGCCCTGAGTTTGGTTCCCAGCACGCATGTTTGTTTACTCATAGAGAGCTGTAACTCCAGCCCAGGGAACCCAGTGTCATCTCCTGGCATTCATAGACAGAAATGTACACATGCAAATACTCGCCTACCTACATACACACATACACATAAATAAAAAATAAGTTTTTAAAGTAAAAATTAATTTGAATCACATTATTTAAAGGAGGGTATTAGGTTTGCATGATTTGCTAACCTAAGGAAATTTTTGTTTCAATATAACAGTGGAAAACACAGTAGGCTTTGTGTGGTGTTACTTTCAAGGTGCTATGCAATCAAATACATAAAGCTTAGCCAAATAAGCTGAAACACAAGTTACTGAAAAATAAAGGGATATTCAGACTTGAACTTAAAACATTTTGTTATTGTGCTTCCATCTGTCCATAGTAAATACTGACAGATGTAACAGTAAACTGTGCTTTTAAGAGCAAACATTTATATTAAGATGCATTTTATATTTTTAGTTTATTTTTATTGAAAAGAGATTTCTTTAATATAAAATATACCCTGATTATGGTTTCCCCTCATCTATCTCCTTCCAGATCCTCCCCATGACCTCATGCACCCGAATGCACATCCTTTCTTTCTCTCACTAGAAAACAAACAGGCATCTAAAAATAAAAAAGATAATACCAAGAAACAAACCTTAATAGAACAAGACAAACAGAAAAACAAAGATATTTTTAAAAGAGTAAGAATATAGAGAGACACACATTGGCATGCATAGAAATCAGCTAAAACCACAAAGATCCAAATATGTAAGGGATAGAAATTTAGGGTAAGAAAACTAAAGAAATTCTCAGGCAAAACAGAGAAAAATGCCCAAAAGTAGCACTGAGTTGGTTCTCTGTTGGCCACCTACTACTGAGCATGGAGCCTGCCCCTAAGTGTTGTTTGTCTACCCAGTGAGACTCCATCAAAGAGAACTAATCATTCATTTATGAGTGATTTTCCATTAGAGGTAGCTTCTGTTTTGGAAATGGAGACCTGTGCCCACTGGGATTCCATCAGGCTCAGACCGGTGCGTGCGGCCACAGTCTCTGTGAGGTCACTCGTCCGTCAGTCCTGTTGTATCGAGAAGCCCTTCTTTTTTTTTTCTTGGTGTCCTCCATCCAGTCTTGCGCTTACAATCTTTCCACCTCCTCTTGCCTGAGGTTCCCAGTGCCCTAAAGTGAAGGATTTGATAAAGACATCCTGTTTTGGACTGTCTCTCACTCTCTGCACATTGTCCAGCTGTGGGTCTCTCTATTTGTTCTCATTTGCTGCAGGAGGAAGCTTCTCTGATGATGGCTGAGCCAGACATTGGCCTATGAGTTTAGCAGAATGTCATTAATAGTCATTTCTAGGCAGGGTTCTTCTAGCATAACAGCAGTATTTGGAGTTCCCCCAGGTCCCTTGACTATCTAGAATCAGGTTCTTCTACACCGCACAAGTAGCGCCAAGGATGGTTTCCATCTCGTGGAGTGCTCCTTAAACCCAGTCAGACATCGGTTGGTTACCCCCACGGGCTTTGTGTCACTATTGCACTGGTGCAGCTTGCTTATTGATTGCCTTTGTAGATCAAATGGTTTGTAGCTGGACTGCTGTTTAGCTTTCTCATTCAGTAGCACTGAGAATATTTTCCAGTATAATAAACACTAGTCCGTAGGGGTGAAAGCTCTATGTAGACATCAGCTCAACTTTTCCATCTTTAGAGAGTTGTGTATATTTTATCTTCAACAATGGGGCCTTATCTTGCCAATGGAGAGCAAACAATAGCCTCACAGTAGCCTGAATTGTTTGGGAGTTTCTAGTTGCTGGGACCCCCTTTGGCCAGCAACTAGATTGGATGTATGCCATTCTTGGCACTGAAAGCTTCATTTGGTGATGAGAAATATCCAGTTGGGGCTCTGTTTTTTGTGCTATTTGGCAATTTTATTTAAATCATCTTCATATATATATATATATATACATATATATTTATATACACATCTGCATATATATACACGTTAGAAAGTTTTCACTGTATTATGTTTGCATATGACTCCTCAAATCATCCTGTGTTTTACTTGTGCCTCTCTCTCCTCCTCTCCTCTCCTTTATTTAGGGCAGAGACAGCTAAGAGATATTTTTGATTGTGTACCATACAGTATTTCCCAAGCAAAATGTTGTTATCAAAAGAAATGATAAGATGTTAGCTCTATAACAATTACTGTTTCTCAGAAAAGCCATGCTCACTGTGTCATTTGCTCAGAATTACTTAATGATCTGTGAATTGTTATATTATATTTTATTTTAATTTAATGATAAATCAAGATCTTCATATTAGTTTTTATTTATAAACACGTTGTTTAATTTTAATGTAGCTTGCTACCTGACTTGGTCTAGAGATTTTCATTTTACCAATAAGACTTAAATTAAATACAAATCTCATTCAGCCTCAAAAAACTTTAAAGATACTTATCCAGAATTCAATATAAACTAAAATAAATAAAATAAAGATACAGTACAAGTGAGTAAAATTTTTGAAGTACTATTGCAAGTCTAGCTGGCTTTCCAAAGTGTGCTTGTGAGTCTCAACGTCTGCTTGGAAACCCTGATGGCTACTGTCTTTCAGAGGATCCCTGTGGAAGGCTCCTGCTGCTGTTTAGATACCCTGTGTGGTCAGCACCACCATCTTGGATCTCCTATTGTTATTTCTTTTTATTTGCCTTGTGTAGCTTCAATTTACCCTAACACAGGCTTTCTGCTGGTCAGTGCTTTCCCCTTGCTAGAATCTATGGACACTAACTTTACATGAGTCCAGATTTCAGGAACCTCTATGAGCTAAAGAACCCAATTAAATAAAGTGTCTGTAACATCACATGATGGCAGAATGGAAGGAGTGACTTGTTCTGGGTCCTCATGTACAGGGGTGTTAGCATATGTACAGAGTAGGTAGACCAGAACTCCTTGATACCTGTCCCGAGCATGGTAGGATGAGAGTCAGTAAATCCTTTGTAGAAGGGCACTGGAGAGAGAGGATAGAACTGACCCTCCCAGGGATATCAGCTGGCAGATAATAACTCTGATGGGATTTAATCTAATAGGCTCAAAGACATCACCTGTCTGGAAAGATAAAGGCTGACCCTGTCTACTGAATTTGTCAATCTGATGTTTACTCAGGACTCTCAATAAAGTATGTCTATTCAAGATTGGTGAACAAAAATTAGATTTTTACTAAGCTGAATATCAAGGAATAGAAATAATTGTACCATATAGTAGTGTAACTATTGTCTATTTATAGCTGTTAAGCACTTACAACACTGCATTATGAACAAGATTCTAAAAATTTGTTATAAAAGTAATAAAGATAAAATTGTCCTCAGTAATTTTTTATATTGATTACACGCTAAAATGGTATTTTGTATATGCTGCATTAACATGAGTTAATTTTACATGTCTTTTTTTTCCTTCTAACATAATTGCTAGAAAACTTAAAACTGTATGTGTGGTCAAGCTTATAGTTTTCATTGAGAAGCAGTAGTATGGACTATTGTCCATTCATTTGGGGGGACCAGAGAGGAAGGGGAGGGAGACCAGACAGGAATGAAGCAATGAGGCACATTCAATAAGAGTGTGGAAGGGCGTCAAGTTAGCAGGTGAAGTGTGGGGCTGACCCAGAAGACATCACGTGCTCTGGAATGTGACCCAAAAGGAATTGAGGATAGACCCAAACACAGATAAAAAAAAATGGAAGTGAAAGTACAGTCAGGAAGCTGAAGGGTTTGAGGCATATAAAAGGCATTTGGATGTCTTTGAGGAACACATATGACCTATGTATTTTTTTTTTTTACTAAATTACAACTTTATGTAAATTTTGAACTAAAATTTTTGTCATAAAGAGATTGTTACTGTATAGGAGTCGGGTAAGTAATAATGAAGGCTTGTAGCTGTTCTAGAACTAAACTGTTCTTGTTGATGCAATCGTGTTGCTTGTAGGAGAGTTTGACACGGTACAGAGTCCCTCCACACCAATCAAAGATCTTGACGACAGAACATGTAGAAGTTCTGGGTCAAAGTCTCGAGGAAGAGGCCGGAAAAACAATCCTTCCCCACCTCCAGACAGCGACCTAGAGGTATGCCTGCTTATCGCTATGAAATGTAAGATACTCGCTTTTGCTGAATATTATAGTCCATACTTTGCACACCTAGTAAGTTTCAAAATATAGATATACTGTATATAAGTATATAATATGTATAATACATATCATGGTCATACTTTGTCTTAGGTAACTTAGATTTGAGTTTTGAGGGGTTTTTTTTTCCATCATAATGGCAAATTTTAAAACAATAAACTTGAAGGTAAGTGTACTCTGAAAGTTAAAGACAAAGATAATTTCAGTTTTTCATTCAAAATGAACCAAAAAATTAAAAAAAAAATAAAGCCATTACTTGTGTAATAATAGCCTGAGAAAATATATTTCTAAGAATATAAAGGCAATCTGTGTGGAAAAAAAAATAGTAAAAACTTGTCAATGAATATATATGTGTGTGTGTGTGTGTGTGTGTGTGTGTGTGTGTGTTAAAACTGACACATTTGTGGACTTTTAACATATTTTGCCATTTGTGAGCTTTTTAGAGATAAAAACTCCATTAAGCAAGTTGAGTTTCTATTATAAAACACCAAAAAACTATCATTGGCCGTTCTATGTTCTCACACAATCACATATTGTAACTGAAGGAAAAAAATAGTTTTCAGATGTATGCGATCAAGTAGCAGGCATTGTGCCTCATTTTAAGAGATTTGTATGAATATATTAGAGAAATGAAAGGCATTCTGATCTGGTGGTGACTTGATAAATGAGAGCTAGGAACCCCAGTTGACAGAGGGCAGGGTGGAGACATTGGCTTGTTCCAGAGAATTCGACATCCTGCACTTTAGCAGAGTCATTCAGTGTAGCCCAAATTCTGGATTCTCTTCCAGGGTCAAATGCAAATTCCACCTGATGCTTGTGTGGAATCTCCTAAATTTGTAGGGAGCTGTCTCTGACCCCTTTGCCTGCTTATTGTAACTTGTTTTACCATGTTTGCTGAATATCCCAGGGAGGCCTGTTTTGTTTTTTGGGTTTTGTTTGTTTGTTTGTTTGTTTTGTTTTGTTTTTTAAGGAAAACAGAAGAGAAGCAGATCTGAGGGAAAGGGTAGGTGGGGGAAGGGACTGTGAGAAGTAGAGCAGAGAAAAACTGTGGTCATGATGTAATTATGAGAGAAGAATAAAACAAGAAATACCTCACAAAAATTTAAAAAAGATTAAAATTTTTAAAAAGGAATAAATAGTGGAAGGGGATGAATTGTTTTGTAAGCCAGTCAAGATCACAAGAAAGGGGACCTTTTTTTAACTGTGTAAGATACATGCTCTTAAACCGTTTTGACACTGGTCTTTTCTCTTCAGCGTGTGTTTGTCTGGGACTTGGATGAAACCATCATCGTCTTCCATTCTCTCCTCACGGGTTCTTATGCACAGAAGTATGGCAAGGTAAGAAATCAAGAGCTTATTCCTAGAAGTGTTCAGGGTTTAACTGGTCAAAACCTCAAAGTCTTTTTTAAAGCTGCTTTGTTCTCACTGTAGTCTGTCAAGTCTTCTGATGGTCATGCTTGATCATGGCAGCTTGCTGTTCTCAAACGTGTGCTGGCAACTTTGCAGAGCTAATTAGAAGTTGCCTTTACGTGAGACCTTAGCTAAGGTCCTATTCTCACAGGTGGACAACAGCCTCACCGCCTTTCTGTCTTGCTGTTGCTTCTGTAGTGGGTTTCTTAAAATGCCACCTTCACACCTGTGTGAGTTCTGTGGCCTGGACTGACACAACCATAGGAGGCCGCTCTGATGGAAACATGGGTGCTCAGGCCATCGCTGGCTTTGATGCTGTCGGTGGGGTTTGCTCTGAACAGAGTCTGACGGGAACGTGTTGGCCTGACTTCCGCTGCTGTATTGAAACATGTGGTTAGCACTGGTTCCTTCCCATCCCACAGTCACACCTACAGAAACGCCTTGCCATGTGACATGTTGGATGGTTTCTTATGTCCTGTCCTCATGCTGAATAGTAACTGTTATATCTGCACCTTCTAGACAATACGTTCCAGTGTTTCTTATTTTTTATTTTATTTTTATTTATGTGTATGTATTTGTATGTGCATGTGCCCATGCATACAGGTGACCACGAATGCCAGAAGGAGGTCTCAGACTTCTAAGTGTGAAATTAGTCCATATATAACTGCTGGGAAGTGGACCAAGGTCCTCTGGAAGAGCAGAAAGTGTCCTTAACCACTGAGACATCTTTCTAGCCCTATGTGTGACTTTGTACATGTTTACTTTGGATGAATCTATATTATCATTTTGTTTTTATTTTCTAAGTAGATATAAAAGCTAGTAATTTTTTAACAACCATTTATCAAAAAGTATCTTTGTCCCTTAATCACCATAACCATCTGACGCATTTGTATTGAAACTATACTTTCAGAAATCACTTCTGTAATTCATGAAAGAATTGTCTCCGAAGCAGGATATATACACAGACATTTCTGGTGGGATGAGGATAGAGTGTGTGGAATATAAAAACAACTACGCACGCCCAAATTTGTATTTCATCTTTATTTTTACTTCCTGTTTCATGCTGGGCTGTTTTATAAACGTGCCGGGGAACTCAGGCTGCTGTGACAAAGCATGATCACAGTTTATCACTACATTATGGTCATAAATCTGGACTGCAAAATCAAAGTTCCGTGACTGGCAGGATAGGTAATGCAAACTTTTTTCAGATTGCAATCTGAGGATTTTTTTTATACTTGATTTTTCAAAAATATGCCATGAGCCATGCTTAAGCAACAGCGATAGTTTGTGAAGCTACATTTCATATTAAATGAAAGCTTGAAATAAACAGCCCATCTTGAAGGTATATGACCTCACGTAAAGGTCCCTCCTAGCCTCCCCACTGGAGACTGCCCTGGGATGCTCCCATCTCAGCCCAGTGGTGGGACTCGCCTGCTAGACTCGCCTTTACACCCATAGCATGCTCCTCGACATCATACCTTCACCCTTTTCTAGGAATCTGAATCCTTTATATCATGAGATCGTTTGGACCTCCGAAATGGAATCTAAAGAGCATTGTAATATGTCAGTGTGTATTTTTGTTTGTGTGTTGGTTTGTTTCTGTTAAACTGGGGACAGCACAGTCTTCTAGCCTAGGGCCTGTGGTCTCAGTCTGACCTGAAGGAAATCCTCTATATGAAGGCTGAGAATTTCATGCCTGAAGCCTTTGAAACTGAACTACAGAAAATACAGAGAGAATGAGGCAAAAGAGTCAAGGGGGTATGAAGAGAACAAGACGTACAGAGAATCCCAAGAGCCTGAGGAGACAGAACCAGCTGTACCCATATACTGGGTGAAGGGAAAGTTGACAAAAATTCCCCACAGGACACCCATTCTCTTCCATCCTGCTTTTTTTTTTCCTCTCTTCTACTATTGAAACTTCTCTCTCTTTAAAAAAGGTTTCATCCTGAGATTTAAAATTGAAGAGGGAAGTTCAAATTTCTCCCTCTGATGAATTGCCTGCACGAAAGGTCCCAGCCTCATGAGTCTCCCCAGTGAGTTCCTACAGTCCTGGATCCTGGTCTTCCCTTCCCTTTCTGATATGAGTTGAGACCACACAAGCTCCTCACTAGAGCATATCAAGGCCAACCCCATCACCAGGCCTCACACACCCAGGACCCCAGAACCTTCATCCAAAATTGGCTTTTCTAAGTCACCCCACCTCAGGTATTGTGCTACAGCAACAGGAAACAGCCACCACACTGTTCTGGTGTGACACAAACCAGTGTTTCTCTCGGGGGCTCACATTCTGAATTCTCCCCCCACCCCCCAGCCACTAGCTCCGTTCTGAGAGGTTACAGAGCTTTGAGAATGAAGGGCATACATAGCAAAAGGAGCCACATTGGTCGGTGCAGGCCTCGAGGGGGTTCTGGCCAGCCTCTGATTTCTCCTTCAGGCCTCAGCAAGAAGTGCGCTACCACAGCCAAGGTCCCACCGCTGCTCTGCTCCAGGGAGTGAGGCAAAGCGAGTATGTGCTGAAACGTTGGAAACCATGAGCCAAAATAAATCTTTCCTTCTTCAAACAAAAGGGCTGTGAGTCAGCAGGGAAGCTCGATTGATGACTCAGTTGACTCACAATCTGGCTGAGTCTAAGAGCAAACCGAAAGCCAAGATTTCAGGAGGGTGCATCACTGACAAACCTCTTGAGAGGAACTGGGAAATTTTCTACATGCTTTATCTTGGTTTAAAAAAAAAATCAAGTTCTTCCACGTGTTAATCAGTAGACCTTAAAGAAAATCCATGGTGAATTCATGTGAGGACTGCTTACATTTTATGGTGTGTCAGTGCAAACCATCATATTGAAATATCTCTGAGATAGTTTGATGTAAACAATCTTCTGGTGAGATTGAATTCATCAGCTCTCCAATGGCTTTATGTGCTGATGGAAATTTTAGCCACTAGTTGAAAAAACAATTTCACTGCACTTAACAATAGTAATGAAGACAGGGCTGGAGAGATGGCTCAGCTATATAAGAAGCACTGCTCTGTCTCCAAATCACAACCATCTGTAACTCCAGCCCAAAGCATCTGATGCCCCCCTCTGGCCGCTGCAAGCTGCTGCACACACATAGAGCACAAAAACTCACAAGGACACAGACTCATACACATATTTTTAAAAGTAACTGGGACCATTAGTTTTGGAAAGTGGGCAGAAGATCTTAAGAGTTGTGTAGACTTGAAATTGCTCATGTATACTCAATGCATTTCATGTCTTAACTCATTCGTTTCTTCAATGTGTATTAAAATCATTACACTTATTTATGTGTGTGTGTGTGTGTGTGTGTGTGTGTGTGTGTGTGTATTCTCTGGCTGCATATGGGGCATTCAGAGGACTACTTTCACAAGTTGGTTCTCTCCTTCCATGATAGGAATCCCAGGGATCAAATCCAGGCAGGAAGATCAGCAGCAAGCTCCTTAACCCTAAGCCATCTTGCCATCTGGCAGTTTTAATTCACAGTTTGGTGTAGGGGTGGTTTTCCAGGTTTGAAGTGAGGTGTTATATATGCATTTGGTGTATCTACCCTACATAGTGCCATTATGCAAAATATTTAAGACTAGGACTTCTGCAGCTGTCAGGAAGAGGTGAGAGATAAAAGACCTCTTCTGATTCGTGCAAAGCAAGTCCCCTCTCCTATTATTAATTCTCAGTCACCCACAGTGGGTTTACAGAGGCCTAAACTTGCTCTGAATATATCCTGTGATGACTCCGAAATTGACCTACACATTAAAGAGCCACTGAGCCGGGGGTAGACTCCTGGACGAATCGTTTGTCCTCCGAAGCATCTTTTTTTTTTTTTTTTTTATCAGAAAGTGGTTTTTAGTGGTAGGATGTACCAGTAGTCATGGCACATGAAAGACTAAGAAAGGAAGATTGTGACTTCAAGGCCAGCATGGGCTGTATAGTAGATTCCAGGCCAGCCTGAGTACATAGCAAGACCCTGCCTCAAAAGAAATGTGCAGTATTGAACTTGAAACCTGAAAAGAAGATAAGGTGATTGTTTTCCTGCTGGAGTGAGTTGGGTGGGTTAAATGAGATTACATGAAGAACACTTAGCTATGAACACAGTGTCTGCCTCTGGGGTCAAAGAAACTTAAATAACAATACGCACTCTTCCCACAAAGAGAACTGAGTGCTTTCAGAGATGCTGAAGGTCCAGATTTGCTCTCATGATGCTTATGGCAGCACTGCGATCACAAAAAACACATCAAGCATTAAGGAGAGAGCACACCCACCTACCAGCATGCCTCTATTTCCCCTAGACCTGTCGGTTATAGCAAGTGTTGCCTTTGGCCTCCGGGAGCATGCGTGCCATTCCATAACTACCCCTCTTCAGTCACTTGCTGGGTTTTCTATAGTATAGCAAAGAAAGCAGTTAGTGGTTTATTAGAAAGTGACTGGTGCTGCTAAATAATTAGAACTGTAGATCTGAGGTAACACCGGGATAGTTAATACCACGGCCACTAACTCCCTTCTGAGTGAATAGTTAACATTTGGTTTTGTGAGGACTATAGACCTGAGTTCAAATTCTGTCTCTGCCACTCAGGGTCATGTGACCGTGCAAAGTTTGTTTACTATGTGATTAAAAGAGAATTTGAAATTTGGGCAAGTGACTGAAATCAGGGACAAGGCAAGGCTGCCCACTCCCTCCATATCTCTTCAACATAGTTCTAGAAGACCTTGCTAGAGCAATAAGACAGTTGAAGGAGATCAAGGGGATACAGATTGGAAAGGAAGAAGTCAAATTATCACTATTTGCAGATGATATGATAGTATACATGAGTGACCCCAAAAATTCTACCAGGGAACTCCTACAGCTGATAAACACCTTCAGAAAAGTGGCCAGATACAAAGTTAACTCAAAAAAAATCAGTAGCCCCCCTGTATACAA